CCAGTGGGATGTCTTTCAAATCTGCTCTAGCTGAACAGGTGTGTTCTATCACTTCGACACAATCATGTTCCAATGGGCCTTCTTCAGTTGTGGTACGTGGGAACAAAGCTGGATTCAAAAGGTTAGTTGTCTTTCATGTGACATCATCCTGCTCAGTCAGAATTACCTGGAATTTCATCATCCTGCTTGGAGATAGCCAATGGGCCCCTTTTGTTCTAAAACAGTGGTCACCATGTGTGGCACGTAGACATCTATGTCTCTACCCATCATGAGTTTCCTAACCTCTTGTATCAGCATCACAGCGGCTGCGACTGCCCACAGGCACAAAGGCCATCCAGCACTCTCATTGTCAAGTTGTTTGGAGAAGTAGCCTACCGGCCTTTTCCAGCTTCCCAAAGGTTGGGTCAGCACTCCCAGTGCTAGGTGTGATCTTTCATGCACAAACAGGTGAATATCATTGGACAAATCAGGCAATCCTAATGCCGGAGCCGTTGTCAATGCCTGAGGAAGGTCTCCTTCTGTGGTTTGCCCCAGGTAAACGGCTGCATCTTTTGGGCTTCATACACGGGTTTTGCAATTAGTCCATAGTCCATGATCCATAGGTGGCACCACCCTGTCATCCCAAGGAAAACTCGCAGCTCATGCAGGTTCTGGGGTTCTGGAATAGCACAAATAGCTTGAATATGATTAGTACCCAGCTTACGTTGCCTTTGCAAGATTTCTTATCCCATGCAAATCACAGTCTGCTGGGTAATTTGTGCCTTTTCTTTAGACACCTTATATCCTCCCATTCCCAGATGATTTAAAATTTCAATTGTTACCTTTATGCACGTTGTTTTCTCTTCTGTAGCTGTCAGTGTATCATCAACATGCACGTTGTTTTCTCTTCTGTAGCTGTCAGTGTATCATCAACATGCTGTAACAGCAGGTATTGTTCTCTCAGAACTTGCTCATTCTCAGTCCAAATCTCCAGCTCCTTAGCCAGCTGGCTTCCAAATAGGGTTGGACTGTTCTTGTATCTTTGTGGGAGTCATGTTCAGGTGAGCTGAGTTTTCCTTCCATTTTCTGGATTTTCCTACTCAAAAGGAACCAGTTTCCTACTTTCTTTGTCAAGGGTATGCAGAAAAAGGCATTTCTTTGTCAAGGGTATGCAGAAAAAGGCATCTTTTAAATCAATTACAGTAAACCATTTATATTTCTCTTTTATGGATGTTAACAATGTGCAAGGATTAGCTACCACTGGGTAAATATCTTTAGTTATTCCATTTATTGCTCTCAAATCCTGTACTAGTCTGTATTGGTCAACACAGAAATTTGGGCTCTAGCGTTAACTACAGAAGTAATAGGTGCACGTTTGGGACCCACTATTGCTGTGATCAGCACGTCTCCAGTTTTGTTATTTCTAGTGAGCATTTTAAATACAACTAACTTCCACCTCTCTGCTCACCCATGAGAGGCAGGGTTACCAGTTTCCCTGATTCTGAGGCTGTTTGGGCTCCACTCCCAGAAACTGAGAAGGAGACTGCTTTGGCTCGCAGCCCAGAGCCTGTGGAGGTGTGCTGGGTTATACAATGGGGCATTCGATACAATGAACTTGGGACAGTATTAATTAGAAACTACTTTACTCAACTTTAAAGTGATAAGTCATCCATTATGTTTCTGGGGACTCTCCTCATTATCCTTAGTGACCACCAATACTGGTGATTAGAGATTTGTTTTTTCTGGGTTTTCATTAAGAGAACCAATATATCTAACACCCTTTGCTTTCTCTGATTTTTCTTCTGGGATTTTTACAGGTCCATAATTTCTACTGTAATTAATTAACTCTTTTGCAACTTTGCTCCATGTCCAAATTTTATGGTTCCTAGCAGGAGAACGCAGTTGTGAACCTGTTGGCTGAGAGGGGGTGGTGAAGGGAGTAAACCCAGGATCAGTGGAACCAGGTCAATCAGTCGGGTTCCCAAGAAATCTATCTAGTCTATCCACAGGGGTTATAGCTGCTATGGTTTTGGGGTTTTTTTATGAGAAAAATTGCTGTAGGTTTAAGTGATTCTGGAAGGCCTTGAATTAAAGAGGTCATAATTTCAGTTTTCACAGGTAACAACACTGGTGATTCAGAACCAGCAATTAATTTTCTTTTGTGTATCATTTGCAAGCAGGCAGCTTTGTGAATGTTTTCCAGTAGTTGGTTGGGGGTACCAACTATAGCTATAGGGTCCCCCCTTTCCAAGGGGTTAAGCCCTTCTGCCTGATAAGCTGCATGCTGATTTAGGGACCATGGGTTATGTCTGTCTCCTGTTGTTACGAAGACTCCATGTCCCCAGTACCCACTGGCTTCCCGTTCTCTCAATCGAATTTAATCACCTCCAGTAAGAGACACTCGGAATACGTATTCTGTCTCTGACTCGTAAGGCAGACTCCCATACTCCCTTATTTTTATTTTTAGTCTTTTTTTTTCTTTTTCTTTATTTTCAGTGGTTATATGCGGATCCTTTTCATTATTGATATAATTATATTATATTGCGTTTTAATTAGAGGTTTCAAACTAAGACACCAGTGTTCCCCACAATTTTATCCAAGTTAGCTCCTTTTGAGGGTAAATTTGATTAATGAGAGGGGTTTCCCTCTCTTGTTTCCTTTAGCAAGTCAGCATTTTTTGAATTTTTATCATGGAGGGCTACTCACAACAGATTGATCTTACTCCTTTCTTCATCCAATTGTTTTTGCAAAGTTTTAGCTAGGTTTTGGAGGGAGTCTATTACAGCTCTTTCCTAACTTCTTCACTTAAAGCGAGTTTCTATAGCTGCTGTAAGATAAGCTCCCAAAACTGAGCAGAGTATAGTTTTATTTTTGCCCAGTTTAAATTCTGTTTCATGTTGTAAAAAATACATAGTCTATCAATCACATTTTCCAAATTAAACCAATTATTAAGCACAAACCTTTCCCTCCTGGAGGTTTGGCATTGTGTTTTGCTAACAATGCATAACATGCATAAAATGCAGCTTTAACTTCTGCAGCCATTTTCGGTCATTTTTACAGAGGGAAAAAACACTACAGGGAGGTATCACCTTAAATTATACACACACACACACAAATTTTTGCTTCCCTGTATGGGTAAAAAGAAAAAAATCTGCTTGGGAGGCACTCCTTCAGTTTAAAATTATGGTTGTCTCTTTGCTACACCAAGCAGTCAAAATTCATACACACAACAACAACAGAAGCAGTCCCGCCCTTTTGCAATAAGAGATCTTTTGCTAAATTCTGCAGACAGAGCCCTCAAGTGAGTGTGAGGTGCTTTTCACCTCAGTGTGTGCAGTTTGAAGGAAATTCAAGTTGCCCCCTTTGCTTTCTAGACACCGCTCACTCTTTTGGGAGTATCGGGTAGGTGCAACTGGAGCAAAACGTCCTTCCCCTAATACAGACTGCACAACAAATCTGCAGCCCCTTCTGTCTGTCAGAAATCCTGTCCATGACTCCAGTTTAAACGCCACGATTCGCTAACGCGAGTGGGACTCATGAGAGGTTTGTTTGATCTCAGAGTGCAAGACGGACACAAGGGATTTCAGTTTAAATCACAACAACAATAATGTACCTTTATTTTAGTGACAAGGGTTATGCGAGAGAGGAGAGGAAGAGAGGGAGAGATAAAGCAACAAGGGTTATGCGAGAGAGGAGAGGAAGAGAGGGAGAGATAAAGAAAACAAAGTAAAGAGAGAGAAGAGGGGGTTATAGCTACCAACAGACGAGACGGGGTTGCTGGGGTCTTTTTCTGTGGGAAGATCTGGCCGAAATTATCTTAGTCTTACGTAATTCTTCCCCAAAGTTACCTTGTTTCCAATGTGCTAATAAGCACCCAAAGGAGAAGTATCCAGTATGGGAGCATTGCTGCCCAAAATCCCTTTAAGTTTCTCCATATTATAACTATAATACACCACAAATGCTGGATCTGCAATGCTATTGCAGTCGTCTGACAGATGGCGCCTAGGCAACTAACTCAAAGATTTCTGGGAGTAACATTTTTCTCTCTCTGAGAGAAAGTGCCTTGCCTCCAAGGGAGAGCCAGGATCTCTGAATCAGCTGGTTTCCTGACCCCCACAGTAAAGCACCTTAGCTTTCTCTCCTGGGGAAATTGTGAGCAGCAGAGACGGTCGCAGCTGATGGGGTCCCCAAGAATCCCTCGGTGCCAGCTGGAGCGTGATCGGGTCATGAGTTCGCTCAGCAGCACTCACAAGGTCCCATCTGGGGTCGCCAAAATGTTAGTGTTCAGGAACACACATAATCACAGAATGATTAAATGAAGGTGCTTTATTAAGAGCTCTGGGTGTCAGGGGTACACATACCCAAATCTGACCTGACTTGGTTTTGAATTGAACATGCTTTTATACTCTATCATTATATAACTTTCATATTAATTATTAAACTTACATTGTTCTATTGTATGCATTGTTTTTACCCAAGCATGGATTTCTTGTGATCCCCCTCAACCCCCTAACATTGTTCCTCATGTTCTTTAAACAATAATTATATCTAATCACATCTAACAATTGTATCATTCATCATATACCAATTACACAGGTGCAGTTTGACATGATCTTTAGCAAGTACAAGGCCTAACACTTCCCAGGACCTACTCTTCCCGGGCTCACCAAACCTAACTTTCTTTCTAAGTCCCCAAATTTTCTAAGATTTTAAAACCTTATACTATCAGAGTGACACTTGTCTTTACAAACAAGCTGTGAGTCTGCCGATAAAATGAAACTATCACTGAGAGATAACAGAAACAATGGGATGGATTCAACTGAAAGATGAAAGAGACACTGGGGAAACACCATAAAATCCCACAAGGGCTAAGAACTAAGAAGGAGATTATGCACTGGGGAGAGGGGGGATGGTATCTCAGGTATCATGTGTACCAGGAAGTCTGTACCTCTTAAATCCCTCAGCCTACGGGGAAAGGGAGAAGGGACGTACGGCCGAGAATTGGGGTAAAAGGGAGGCTGCGCCCTCCAAAAATTAGAGAGATCCCAGGGGAATGCCCCATGGCCTCTCCCTTTATTTGAAAAAATTGAAAGCACTCCTCTATCTCCTTTTTGGATATAAACCTCTGGTGTTTGTGGATTAATTTTTTCTGACACTAACAATTAATATGAAGTTCAAAACTACAAACCTAGGCAGTGCAGAATATGAAAAATATGAAAGCTAAAACTAAGGGCATCATAGCTGGAGGGGGGGTGGAATTGAATAATTTTGGGGTGGGACTGATTAGCATTCAGAGGCACTGAGAGGTCTTGAGGTGACAGATTGAAGCCCCTCATCTCTTTGAGTGCCAAGAAATGGAGACAACTCCAAATACCCCACAACCCCTAAATACTCTCAAGTAGCTCCCTGATTCCCAGTTGCTCTTGAAGCACTAGTAAAATGTGAGGTTTTAGGTGCCATTGATTAATTAGATGCCATTAATTTGTTGATTTTTACCCCAATTTAGTCTGTTCCAAAGGGATGAAGATGAATCTAAAGATAATTAGAACAAAACCAAAATGACCACCAGCCCAGTGTCTTCCCAACACAGATCACAGGGAACATGGGCCATCAGGGCTCTGCCCAACGTGGGTCCACTGATGGGGGATGGAGTTGGAGCAGCGCACGAAGCTCTTCCTGCACTTGGAGCACTCGCAGGGCTTCCCTTAGTGGTGCCTCCGTTTGTGTCTGGTCAATTGAGAGCTGTCTGAGAAGTTCTTCCCACACTGGGGACACTCATAGGGCCTCTCCCCGGTGTGGATGCGTTTGTGGGTACTGAGGCTGGAGCTCTGGCTGAACCCCTTCCCACATTCTCCACACTTATAAGGCCTCTCCCCAGTGTGGATGCGCCGGTGGGTGATGAGGTGGGAGTTTTGCTTGAAGCGCTCCCCACAGTCACGGCAGCGGAAGGGCCTCTCATCCGTGTGAATCTGCTGGTGCCTGAGGAACTGGAAGCTGGTCTGAAACCTCTTCCCACATTCTGGACACTCGTAGGGCCTCTCCCCAGTGTGGATCATCTGATGGATGGTCAGTTGGGACCTCCGGCTGAAGCTCTTCCCACATTCCTCACATTCATAGGGACATTCCCCGGAGTGGGTCCTCTGGTGGCGGATCAGGTGGGACCTCCGGCTGAAGCTCTTCCCACATTCCCCACACTTGAAGGGCCTCTCCCCAGTGTGGATGCGCCGGTGAATGGTGAGGGTGGAGCTGTGCTTGAAGCCCTCCCCACAGTCAGGGCAGCGGAAGGGCCTCTCCTCTGTGTGAATCCTCTGGTGCACGAGGAGACTGGAGCTGATCCGAAAACTCTTCCCACACTCGGGACACTCGTAGGGCCTCTCCCCAGTGTGGCTGCGCTGGTGGATGATGAGTTTGGAGTTAAAGCTGAAGCCCTTCCCACATTTCCCACACTTGTAGGGCCATTCCCCAGTGTGGATCATCTGGTGGCAGATCAGGCTGTTGCTCTGGCTGAAGCTCTTCCCACACTCCAAGCACTTGTAGCACTTCTCCCCATCCTGAAGCTGCTCATGGACCACCAGCTCAGAGCCCCGGCTGGATCTCCGGCCGCCTTCCCGGCACAGGGTGGGTCTTTCCTCCTCAGAGCACCCTGGGATGGGTTTGGAGCTTCTCCTCCTGCGGGATCTCCGGGGCTTTTCCTCCCCATTGGATTCCTGCACTGTGGAACTGCTCAAATCAGCCTCTTCCACAAGGTTCTGCTGCAGGGATTTGTCCTCCCTGGTCTCCATCCTCAGCTCCTTGTCTGAGGGAGGAAGGACAAGGAGAGGATGGGATTTGCCTCCGTGCCAGAGGGAAGGGGAAGGAGATCCCCCCAGTGCGTCCCCGGCAGGACAGCCTCGGCAACAGGGTTGTCCTGCAGCTGGGGGCCATGCTGGGCTGGGAGATGGAGCAGGAGAGAGAGGGAAAGGGGCACTGACTTCCTCCTCACCTGCCTGGGTGTCCCGAGGCATCTTCCTCTTCCTTGCAGCCTTCCTCTCCATCCAGCCAAGGTTTGGCAATGGGAAATCCTGGTTTGGGGAAATACAAGGGATGAGGACATTGAGTTTGCAGGTCCCTCTGCCCGTGTTCATCTCTAGAAGTCATCGGACATCTGGGGTCCATAAAACCTCCAGAAAACACCAAAATTCAGCCTGAAAATGCCTCCCAGGAGTTCCCCATCTCTGGTCTCTCCTGTTTGGGGTTCAAGGGTTCCCCCCTGTCCCAGCTGCTGGGAGTCACGCTTGTACTGGGGATCACCTGTCGGCTTGGTCCCTGCCCTCCCCGGGCTGCTGAGAGTGCCAGGAATCCGAAAAGTTCCCCCTGTTTCCATCTCCCCACTTAAGGATGGTGGGACCCCCCAATATCCCCCCAAGTAGGATTTTCCACTCAGCTTTGGAGTTCCACATTCTCCAAACATCCCCCCCCCAAATAAACCCAACCCAGGGACCCCCCCAGGATATCTGGGCAAAGCTCCCGCTCCCCAGTCACCTGTGGGATGGTGGGTGATGATCGCACAGGTGGGGGACTATAAATTCAGGGAGTGCTCGACCTTGTAGTTCCTTCTCCTTTCCCTGATCCTCATTTGTCCCTCCTCCTCCTCCTGCTCCTCTTTCATCCCTCCCCCTCCTCCCCCAGGAGCAGTGACACCCTCGGTGCCCCGTTCCCGAACCCCTCACAGCCCATGGCAGGAGCGGGGATGGAGCCGGGACAGGTCGGGATGGGCAGCGCGGGGCTCTCCGCTGCTCCCACACACTGGGGACGGGGGGAACCCGGCCTGAGGAAAAGGAGAGGGAAACTGGGAAAATTGGGGGCAGCAGATCCAACCTGGGGCTGGCTGGGGACCCTGGCTGGGGACTGCCAGCCCTTGGGGCTCCTCTGGGGAGATGCGGGAGGGGGGAACACAGAGAGGGCTGGGGGATCCCAGGAGTGGCAGCACTGGCAGGGACTGGTTTGTACTGGGATCGTCCTGGCAGTGGCTGAGATTGCACTGGCTGTGTACTGACATCATACTGGGATATCATACTGGGATCGTCCTGGCAGTGAGTAGGAGACTGCAGGGGGCAATTGAGATCAGGTTGTGAGGAACTGGGAATATGCCCTGCACTCCCTAGAACCCCGGCATCGCCCCCCATATGTCTCGTAAGTCTCCCCCAAACCCTTCAGGATCCCCGAGTGCCCCCTCAGCGCTCGTTCAGGACCCCCCAAAGCATCTCTGGATCCCTGAATGCTCCCGACACCACAGATGCCCCTTCCAGACACAGCTGGGAATTCATCTCCCATCATCCCAGAACACAGTTCCGCGCCCAAACCTCCTGCCGTGCCCCACGCCCCAAAGAGCCCAGTTACAGCTCCCCAGGTTCCCCCCAAGTGCTCACGAGCTGTATACATTCGCCCCGAGGACCTGCAACCACAGCTCGAACGGAAAAGTTCTCTCTGAGTGCTTCCCTGCAACACCAAACGCGCCTTCCGAGCCACTTACGGAACTACATCTCCCATCATGCTCCGCGGCGCCCATATGGTGCTATTCCAGCCATGACTCCATCTTCCGTCATGCCCCACGCCTCACCGGAATCCACTGGAGCTGCGCCTTTAACTCCCGTGATGCTCCGCGGCCCCATTAAACTGTATTATATCGGCGCCTACAACTCCCATCATCCCCTGCGACCCATAGATTCCCCGTTACAGCCCCCCAAGTGCCCGCCCGGACCCCGAAGGGCCCCCAGATTCTCCTCCCTGACTTCCAAGCGCCCCCCTGGACGCCCAAGTGCTTCCCCAGACCACGAATTGTCCCACAGAATCCCTAAGTGCCCACCTGGCTCCCCCAAGTGTCCTCCAGACCACCAAGTTCTCTCTAAATTCCCTCTCCAGACCCAAAACTGCCCCAAATGTTCCCCAGAAAAGTTTCCATGGACCCCAAAGTGGTCCCTTTTACCCTGTCTGAGAAAATTATTAAAAAATATGATCAAAGGACTAAAAGTAGGACAAATTAGCATAAAGAGGGAGAAATAGTGATCAATTAATTAATGAAGGGAATTGTGGTACTTTGAACCAAGGACCGATAATGTTTTTTGTTGCTAAAATTGTATAAATTCTTTTATATAAATATAAAAATTAGGTTCTAAAAATATAGAACAATATTATAATAAAAATAAAATTTTATTTTTATTAATTAATTAGATTTTAATGATAAAGAAAAATTATAAAGAGAAATGTTATCAATGTTTTGGGATGTCAGTCCCAGGTGGGCCATGTCAGACATGCTGAGGCTCGGGGTGAGGAGCAGGTTGTCCAAACAGGGGCAGCCCACAGGGTCCTCATTCTTCCCTGTGACCAGACTGCCTAAGGAGACATTCAGCATCAGGATTGTAAAGAGTAAATCATGACCTCCTGATCAGTACAGAAAGATATTTTACAGTTTGAACAGTAGAATGTTGTCACCGTAAGGTGCCTTCTTTGTTAATATAGCTCATATTGTGTCATGTTTGTTAAATACCAATGTTGTTGTACCAGCTTTCTTTGCTAAAATATTGTTATAAATGAAATTAGAATTTTGACAACTAGGTCCCTTGGCTTAATGGCAGTTTAATTAAAAATGAATACAATTTACTAATCTGAATAGTAATGTGGTATAAAAGAATACAGTTTTGTAAAATAATACAGTTTAATAAAAAAATAAAATTTATATATATAATCTACTAGTAATTAAGTATGATTAAAGCATAAGCAAAACCCACCAGGGTACGGAGGCTTCCCACCCTGCCTCACGTTCAAAACAAAGCACTTCAAGCTAAACTCATATACTGTATGCTTATACATATTCATTCATGTTTCCTGTAAGTTTCCTCCTATTGCAAATTTTTCTGACTTAACATCACTTTTCTTCACGGCACATGCCTCACTTGTTGCAATGGGGTCTTCAGTCTTCTTTTGGTGGTCTTTTGGTGAAGGCCTCTCTTCTTCCTCATTGTCCTTTGGATAACCTTACAGGTTTGCGTGTGCCTACTAAGCCTTGTGTTATGTTAGTATACTAATTAGCCTTATGTTTACTAATCTTTAGGCCCAATGCCTAAATTTGTTCTAATTTTGATCCATCTCAAGGCCATTTTGGTCTTGAGACACCATTTATCTTCTAAACTACATCCTGTACCTCAATTTTGACATGTAACATCTGCAAAGGGGTACATCTGCTTTGTAACACTGATTCTTGATTGTTTCTAATAATAACTTTAATAACAGCTACAATTTAGTTAGCACGAACCAATTCCATTTATTACCACTGCAAATACGCCTTATGCACCTTTTTATTGGTTTCCATGCTAACGGCCTTGCTTTCTTCCTTGCTATGGATAAACCTGTATTTTCTCAATTTCTTCTTTTGCTACCTCAATTGTTTGGCCTGCAGACCAGTTGCTAAGCCCATCCTTAAGCTCTTAGTCTTCAGAGGGAAACTTTGAGCACAGTGAGAATCTCCCAGTGTGCAAGAGGGTCCCTGTGTGCCAGCTGCAGCTGGGGCCTCAGCCATCTCCTCTCTCAACAGGTTCCCCTCTGCAGCTTCACAGGAATGGCCAAACACCTCCCTCAGGGACACCTGCACCACACATTTCACATCTCCATGCCCATACGTGATGTCCCTGTCACAGCTGCATTACCAGCTTGCTGCTGTGCAGATGCTGCCACCACCCAAAGCAAGGCCCTGTGTCCCTGAAGGGACCCGCCCTGCTCTGTGGCCTGGACTGAAGGTGGGTCCCTCCTGCCAGGGCAGGGCCTGACACAGCTCTTCTGTTCCAATAAAGAGATGGAGCTGTCACCCCAGTGTCTGGCTGGTACCACCAGCAAAGCCCACACAGCACCAGCCCTGGCTGAGCTCCATGTCCAGGAGCAGGCAGGGCTGACCACGGTGTGGGCAGGCAGGAGCCAGGCAGGGGCTGCTGTGACCAGCGGCAGGGCCCCGAGGGGCTGGGGGAGTCTGTGTTGAGTGTCCCTGGGCTGAGGGCACATTTCCTTCAGTGGCATCACCTGGGCCTGGACCTCCTCCAGTGCCATGCCCAGGAAAAGAGGCAACCATCAAGAGCATCTCCTGGGACAGAACATGACCAGCAATGTCAGCAGGCAAAACCAAGGTTTTGTTTAGCAATGACCCTTTGATGAAGTCAAATATTTACAATCAGTCCCGTACAGTTTGGAGTACAGATGGGAGTACACTCGGGGGGTACAGCCAAGGCCATGAGGTCACAGCAGTCTCTGGGGTGACAGCAGGCTGAGGTGACAGCAGGCTCTGAGGTCACAGAGGTCCCAGAGCCCCGTGGTTGCACAGCACCACAAGGACCGAGCAGTCAGTCCTTGACCACGACTGTTGTGGCAGCAGCGGCGGCGGCAGCAGCGGTGCTGACATTGGGACAGCAGTGTCAGGACAGTGGTGGCAGCAAGAGCTGCAGGACTGGCAGTGGACAAGGCACCATGGCCTTTGCTCTGCGCCTCTTCCTCCTGCTCCTCCTGGCAGTGGCCCTGCCTGACAGGGCTGCCCAGGCTGCTCCGTGGCGAGCAAGGCGAGCAGGTGAGCCCAGGGCCTGGCTTCCCTTTCCTGAGACAGCACTTCCTTCTCCCTGGGAAGCGTTGGGGATGGTTTTCCCCAGGGCTTCAGGGAGGGTTTCCTCTATGGATGGGAGAGAGTCCCCAGGGGCCCTGGGCTGGTCCCGCTGCCCCACCAGGGATGTTGCATGGGGCCTGCAAAGAGGGTGGAGAGTGTTCAGAGCCAGCCCAGAGCTCTCCAGGCCCCTCTGCAACTTTGGCCATGTCCATTGACATCTGGCTCCCACGGCCTTTCCCAACCCCCTTGCAGTGCCCAGTTCCCTAAGGCAGAAGGGGGTCCCAGCACACCATGGAATGGTTCTGATCTGTGCTCCCTTCTAGATGAGGGTGGTAGGAAGGCTCCTCCAGCAGCTTGGCTTCATGAAGATTTTCTGCCTCTGGAGCCCCATGCAGGTATGTTCTCACTGTCCCAACAAGAAATAATCATTGACAACCTGTCATGAACCAGGTGACAGAAGCTTCTGTGGCTGTTGAGTTACAGGTGTGTCTGCATCAAGGACATTTCAAGCTCCTTTTCTGGTTGCTGCACGCAAGCCCAGCTCCCATCACGGGGGTGAGTGGTGTGTCCTTGCTGATCCCACAGGCTTGAGCCCTGGTTCTGTGGGATCCATTCATCTGAAATGGAAATACTTTCTGTTAAGGTTCTCCTAGAGGGAGGAATAAACCCACAGAAGACAAGATGCTGAGTGAACTGGATAGACGCTATGGTGGGTCCATGTCCTTCAGCCTTCTCCTGAGACTCAGCAGCCGGGGGCTTTCTCTGCACATCTGGACATGCCGTGCCTGGCACAGTGGGAAGGGATCCATGGCAGCCTTGCTGCCCCGCTGCTGCTTTCTTGGCCTGCAGGGCTGTTTCCCAGCCTGGCCTGGCTACAGCTTCTCCCCAGCCTCTGCAGGAAGGCATTTGGCATCAGCTGACAGGGAGCCCAAACTGCAGCACAGGCCATGCAGAGCCAGAGATCCCTTGCAATTTCCCAGTCTTGGGGTAGATGTGGAATGGCAGCTCTTTGGAGGAGGGAAGGCCCTGGCCTGGCTCCGAAGTTTTGATGGCTTCCTGAACCTTATTCATGACTTGGACAAGTATTGCCTTTTGAAGATGCCACCTTCCTGTTGGGGAACAGCCCCACCTGATCCAGCTGTGGCTCTTCTTTTCTCCAGAGATGAACCCTAAGGCTGTGCTGAAGGCAGCGTTTCCCGGAGGAAGCAGTGGCTCATGGGCAGCCTCTGCTGCAGGAAGGGAGGCCATGCCAGGCACAGTCCCAGGAGGTAATTGCTGTGCCTCTGGGCCTGAGCCCTGCTGAGGCTTGAGCTGCCATCTCTGTTGCTTGGCTGTGTGAGCACAGTGCAGAGGAATTATCCTGAGCAGGCTCAGGGCACTCGGCTACTGAGCAGTTCTGCTGAGGTCCCTCCATGGGAGACACATCCCAAAACCTGGCAGCGGCTTCAAGGAATGCCCATGGTGGGGAAAGGGCTGAGGGGAGGGTAAAGCTCCAGTGTGCCCTGAGAGGGCCTGGCTCTGTCCCCTTGGGCTGGGGGAGCTGTCCCAGCTGAAGGACGGAGGGCAGGAGAGAGGGCAGGAGGAGGTAGGGATGTCTGTGGCACTGAATGCTGCAGTTTGGCCCAGGGCTTAATGGTTACCTCTGTGGCAGGGAGAGCCCCTGGGCCCTGGGCTGGTGCCGCTGCCCCACCAGGGATATTGCACAGGGCCTGCAAAGAAGGTGGAGAGTGTCCAGGGCCAGCCCAGAGCTCCCCAGGCCACTCTGCAGCTTTGGCCATGTCCACTGACATCTGGCTCCCTTGGCCATCCCCCGACCCCCTTGCAGTGCCCACTTCCCTAAGGCAGAAGGGGGTCCCAGCACAGCATGGAATGGTTCTGATCTGTGCTCCTTTCTAGATAAGGGTGGTAGGAAGACTTCTCCAGCAGCTTGGCTGCATGAAGATTTTCTGCCTCTGGAGTCCCATGCAGGTATGTTCTCACTGTCCCAACAAGGAATAATCATTGACAACCTGTCATGAACCAGGTAACATGACTGAAGCTTCTGTGGCTATTGAGTTACAGGTGTGTCTGCAGCAAGGACATTTCAAGCTCCTTTTCTGGTTGCTGCACGCAAGCCCAGCTCCCATCACAGGGGTATGGTGTGTCCCTGCTGATCCCACAGGCTGAGCCCTGGTTCTGTGGGATCCATTCATCTGAAATGGAAATACTTTCTGTTAAGTTTCTCCTAGAGGGAGGAACAAACCTACAGAGGATAGTAAGTCCCTGGAGACATCCAAACAGATGGATAAGATGTTGAGTGAACTGGAGAGACGCCATGGTGAGTCCATGTCCCTCAGCCTTCTCCTGTGACTCAGCAGCCGGGGGCTTTCTCTGCACATCTGGACACGCCGTGGCCTGGCACAGCAGGAAGGGATCCATGTCAGCCTCGCTGTCCCACTGCTGCTTTCACGGCCTACAGGGCTGTTTCCCAGCCTGGCCTGGCTGCAGCTTCTCCCCAGTCCCTGCAGGAAGGCATTTGGCATCAGCTGACAGGGAGCCCAAACTGTAGCACAGGGCATGCACAGCCAGAGATCCCTTGCAATTTCCCGGTCTTGGGCTAGATCAGGTGTAGGGGCTGTTTGGAGGAGGAAGGGCCCTGGCCAGCCCCAATAACCTGGTCTTTCTCCTGATCCTTAACCATGACTTTAACAAATATTGCCACTTGAACATGCCACCTCCTCAATGGGGAATGGTTCCATCTGATCCAGCTGTGGCTTTTCCTTTCTCCAGAGATGAACCCAAAGGCTGTGCTGAAGGCAGCGTTTCCCGGAGGAAGCAGTGGCTCATGGGCAGCCTCTACTGCAGGAAGGGAGGCCATGCCAGGCACAGTCCCAGGAGGTAATTGCTGGGCCTCTGGGCCTGAGCCCTGCTGAGGCTTGAGCTGTAAATCTCTGCTCCTTGGCAGTGCCTGCCTTTCAGGGATTTTGCACAGAGCATGGAAAAGGTGTTGAGAGTGTCCAGAGCCAGTCCAGAGCTTTCCTCAGGCCCCTCTGCAGCTTTGGCCATGTCCATTGACATCTGGCTCCTACGGCCTTCCCCGACCCCCTTGCAGTGCCCAGTTCCCTAAGGCAGAAAGGGATCCCAGCACACCATGGAATGGTTCTGATCTGTGCTCCCTTCTACATTGGGATCGTGACATGGAGCATCTGGAAGTGCTGGTAAATGGTGGTTTGAAGACCTTGCCAGATGCTGGAGGCAAGTTCTCAATGTCCCTTTCCGCACAGAACAATCCGTGTCAAGGTGGCAAGAGCTCACTCATGTGCCATTTCCCTCAAGAGTCTGAAGGTTGATGGATTCTGGAAACCTTGCCCTGCTCCCTTCTGGAGCCCTGAGTGATCCCACAGCATTGCTGTCAGTGGGAGGAAGGAGCATTTAGCTGTCAATCCTCTTCCTGTGTGTAATGCCAGTGTCTCCTTCCGTGTGCTCTGTGCAGCCACGGAGAAGAGCAGAGAGGGAAGGGCTGGGCTCAGGGCTGTGCCCTGGGGCTCTGCCTTGTGTGGCTCCTTTCTGGCCCCAGGGAACCTGAGATGCTCCTGCTCCAGCTGCCAAGCCCTGGCCCTGCTTGAGGCTCAGTTCAGAGCTGCTGGCAGCTCCAGGGAGTCCTTTCTCCCCTGACTGCCGTGCAAGGGGCTCCTTCCATCCCACTGTGGGCCCACTGCAGGCACGTGGTCCCCCTGCCCTTGCTACTGAGTTGAAGGCAGAGATGAGGAAGTGCCTTGGAGGGCAGCAGTCACCTGGGTGTACTCACTGCCACTCCAGCCTGAAGAAGAATCTTCAGCAGTGTCACGGGAGTTGTTCTGTCCTGACTTTCTTTGCAGATGAACCTGATGATGAAGATGATCCGGATTCCCAATCCATATCAGTTACTGAGCCTGATGATGAGGAAGATTATGAGGGTAGGTCAAGGCCTTTCCCCCTGGGAGAGCCGCCAGCTCAGAGCCCAAGGCTCGGCCAGGGTGGCATCTCTGCAGGTGCCAGGACAGAGCCGTGCATGGTTGTGCCCTCACCCTGCGTGATCCTCTCACTGCTCCTGTGGCTCAGTGCTGCCTGTGCAGCAGAGATGAGAGAAGCTTCTGTGGCTGTTGAGTTATAGGTGTGTCTGCAGGGAGGACTTTCCCAGCTCCTGAGCTAAATTCTGCCAGCAAGCCCAGCTCCCATCGCTGGGGTGTGTGGTGCCTCCCTGCTGATCCCACAGGCTGAGCACTGGTTCTGTGGGATCCATTCCTGAGAAATGCAAATACTTTATATAATGGTCCCCTGAGAAAGAAGAACAAACCTATAGGAGATAGTAATGTAGCAATGGGGGAACTCAAATACCTGGACATAATCCTGAATGATCTGGAGGGATGCCATGGTGGGTCCATGTCCCTCAGCCTCCTCCTGACACTCAGCAGCCAGGGGCTTTCTCTGCACATCTGGACACGCCGTGTGCCCGGTACAGCAGGAAGGAATCCATGGTAGCCTCACTGCCCCACTGCTGCTTTCATGGCCTGCAGGGCTGTTTCCCAGCCTGGCCTGGCTGCAGCTTCTCCCCAGCCTCTGCAGGAAAGCATTTGGCATCAGGTGACAGGGAACCCAAACTGCACCATGGGCCACGCACACCTTGAGATCCCCTGAAAATTTCCAGTCTCAGGCTAGTTCAGGTTTAGGGTCTGTTTGGAAGAGGGGTGGCCCTGGAGCATTTCCAAAACCGTGGGCATTTTCCTGATCCTTATCCATGTCTTTGACAAGTATTGCCTGGAGAAGACCAGCACAGCACAGAGAAATTGTGCCATTCGAGCTCAGGGGGTTGAGCAGTCTTGTGCCAAGGGGTGGCAAGGTGCCTGCAGGCCCCAGCTCTGGGGGAAACAGAGAACGTCCTGGCTGTATCCAGCGTGCTGCCAGCTCAGCAGTGGAGCACAGCAAAGGCTCACGCTGCCCATTGCTCCCACAGATGCAGCTGGCACCACAGCACATGCTCAGAAGATCTGGGAGAGCATGAGAAGAGTTTTCTACCAGGGAACAGATGGTTTGATTAAGTTAATGGCCATTGTGGCTGGTGGAGCAGTTTTCCTGATGATGTGCTGTGCCGGAATCTGGTATTGCCAGAAGGGAAAACGGTGAGTGTTTTGCAATCTCGGCCTCAAACAGCTTCTTGAAAGGCTGCTCATAGTCAGGAAACATTCCCAGTGAGGCTGCTGTGCACTTGTGGGTAGGCCTTGGTTGCCCAAATAACTCTGCTGAGAGTTCTGCTGCTGCCCAGGCCTTTCATTGGCCTCTTAATTGCTGGGCCTTGTCCTGGGGAGCCCGCTGGGGCTGCAGCCAGTGCTGGCTCCCACTGAGGCTGCCTGGCCAAGAGCAGCCCCAGGAGCAGCAGGCAGAGGCAAAGCAAGGTGGGCAGGAGAAAGAGCGGGGACGAGATTGCCCTTGAAAGGCAGAGGTGCTCTGGGGCCCGCTCCTGGCCAGGGACCCTGCCCAGAGCCATCCCCTGCTCGCTGGGGCCTGGAGGGGCAGCTGTCCAGCTGGGCCAAGCTGTGCCAGCAGCTCCAGCCATGCTGGGGAGCCTTGGCCGCTCTGGGCCCTGCTGTGCAGGAGGGTCCCTGAGTGCCAGCGGTAGCTGGGGGCCTCAGCCACCTCCTCTCTCCACAGGAGCACCTCTGCAGCTTCAGAAGAGCAGCCAAAGATTTTAGTCTCTGAGAAGCTGACCTGTTATCCTCGCTCTCCACATCTCTCCCCATCTGCTGTGCTGCAGCTGCATCCCCGTCTTGAGGGCATCCCAAGACGCACACCTCCCAAGCGAGACCCTCTGCCCCTGAGCCCCCTGGCCCTGTTCCCTGGCCAGGACTGAAATTGGGCAGCCCCTGTCCACCAGAGCAGGGGTTGGCCCATGGTTTTTTTTCAAATAAAGAGATGGAGCTGTCACCCCAGTGTCCAGCTGGTACCACCAGCAAAGCCCACACGGCACCAGCCCCAGCTGAGCTCCATGTCCAGGAGCAGCCGGGGGTGCCCACGGTGTGGGCAGGCAGGAGCCAGGCAGGGGCTGCCGTGACCAGCGGTGGGGCCCCGAGGGGCTGGGGGAACCCGTGCTGAGCGTCCCTGGGCTGTGAGGGCACATTTCCTTCAGTGGCATCACCTGGGCCTGCACCTCATGAGGCACACAGGGCAAATTTGGGCTCTCTCCTAAGGTGTTCAGGGATTCCCCATGAGGAGTGCAGTGGGGTTAAATTGAGAGGGTTTTTTACTCTTCTCAGCACAGCAAAGGGGACAGTCTTGGCTGAGGTTTTGCAGAGCTGGGAGGAAGCCTCTTGTGAGCCCTTGGGCCCGGCCTGTGGGCACAGCGGGCAGGTGGAGCCCATCCCTTGAGGCCAGTCCGGGCTGCTCGGGCCAGGCTGGGCCGGGTGAGCCGGGCCATTCTCTGGGGCACAGGAGGCACCCAGGGCTATAACTGGGGCTGTGGTTTTTCAGCTTGAAGGGAGGCTGGCTCTGGTGATTCAGAGGGCACAGCTTAGATCCCAGTTACCTTTGTAAACCTGCTGGGGAAGTGTTGAGGGCAGAGAGTTCCAACCCTTCTCACTGGGAAGCTGGGCTGATGCTGTGGGGTTTTTTAATTTTTTGGCCTCTAAATTTGTGTCCTGGCAGAGGATTAAGTTTGCTTGCTCTCAGTAAGCCCCTTTTCTTCTTGGTGCTGTTGTAAATGAAATTAAAATCAGACAACTAGATCTATTGAGTTAACAGCAATTAAATAACAAGGGAAAAAAATATACAATTTAGTGAATTGAATGTCCTGGTTTAGGGCAAATTTGGGAGAAAACCTCCAGTGGGGATCCCCCCCGGGAAGCAAACCCATGCGGCCCTTTTCCCCCCACCCCCCAACCAGTTCGGGAAGAGATTTCTCTGAGAGAAGTGGAAAAAACCTGTTTATTTCACAGGCACAGCACTACCCAGCACAAGAATGAACAATATCAAATTACAAAACCTCTCGCCATTCAGAAGAGATGACAAACTCCAGAGGGTCTCTTTCCTGTGGGTGTTCGCTCTGTTATCAGTCCCTCTGGTGCTGGAAAATGCCGCTGCCCAAGCTGGGCTCCCGGTAGTCCACGGGGGCAAGCTCCCGGTGCTCCCCCGAGTCCCCAGTTCAGAGCAGGTTCGACTCAGAAAATTCAGATTTTCTTTTTCAGAAAAAGGGAAAGAAAACAGTCCAGGAAGACCTCTCTGCTCCGGCTAGTTGGAAAGCCAAGGCGATCTGTGTCTTGTTGTCTGTCTGTGCTGTAGTCAAAACTCCTGATGTGGGGGGAGCAAGTACAGTCTGATAACAGACCCAGTGCTTCTTTTCCACTCACTTTTACTCTCAGATGGAATTTTAAGAATACAGAACCTGTGTCTGGGTTAGGTGGATGAATGGGGATACAATTTAACATCATAATCAACCCGGGACACAAGGGAAAAAAATATACCATTTAGTGAATTGAATACAAGGATGCAATATAATAAAATAATACTATTTAGTGGCTTGAATAGAAATTTGGTATAAAAGGAAAACAATTCAGTAAAAGAGTACAATTTAGTGAATATCTTCATATATATATATGTATGTGAATATAATTTGCTAGTAATTGAGTATGATTAAAGCATGAGCAAAACTGACTGGGGTATGGGCAGGGCTTCTCACCCTGCCTCACGTACCAAAACAAAGCAATTCAAACTAAACTTATATACTGTATGCTTATACATATTCATTCATGTTTCCCCTAAGTCTCCTCCTGTTTTTGATTCTTTAATTTTACATCACTATTCTTCATGGCGCAAGCCTCACTTGTTGCTAGGGGGTCTTCAGTCTCCTTTTGATGGTATTTTGGATGAAGGCTTACGCTCATCCTCATTGTCCTCTGGATAACCTTACAGGTTTTGCATGTGTACTAAGTGTTATGTAAATAAGCATTGTGTTCCACTAATTAGTCTTACACTTCATAATCTTCAGGCCTATGCCTAAAGTTGTTCCAACTTTATCCATCTCAAGGTTGATTTCTTCTTGGGACACCACTTACCTCAAAACTACATCCTGTACCTTAATTTCAACACGTAACATCTGCAAAGGGGTACATCTGCCTTGTATCACCAATTCCCTTGATTGCTTCTAATAATAACTTTCCAAATAGTTACAATTTAGTTAGCACAAATCATTTCCATTTATTACGCTCCCCAAATTCCACTCCCAACATCTCCCCCGCTTCCAGCTCAGGATGGTGCCCTGATGAGACCCCTCCCCAAATCCCACCCCCAAGACACCTCCCCATTGCTGGAAAATCCCCCAAATCTCACTCCAAAATCAGGAATCCTCCCTGAGACCCCTCCCCAAATTCAGGCCTCCCCAAAATGCCCCTCCTCACTGGGATTAGGACCTCTCCCCATCAATGGAAATTCCCCCAAAAGACAAAAAATCCTCCCCAAATCCCCTTCCCAAAATCAGAACTCCACCAGGACCCCTGAATTTCCCCCCAAAACCACCAAATTTTCCCCCCCAAATCCCCAATTTTTTTCCCCAAATCCCAAATCCTCTCCCTAAAAACCCCAAAGTTCTCCCCAAAGCCCCAAACTTCCTCCCCAAACACCCAAATGTTAGAAAAAAATCCTTAAATTCTTGCCCTAAAACCCCAAAATTCCCCCCAGGACCTTCAGAGTTTCACCCCAAAACCCCAAATTTCCCCCTGAACCCCCAAATTTCTCCAATTCCACCCCAAATCCTGGGAGAACTCCCCAAAAAACAGCAAGCCTTCCCAAAACCTCCACCAAAATTGCAACTCTCTCCCCAAAAATCACCAAAAATCTGAGAACATAAATTTTTTCATACCTTGGGTGGGGGGAGAAACACCAGAAATCTCAGGATTTTTTCCCGTTTTTTTGGGGAGGGGGGTCTCCCTGTTTCCTGTCCCCCCAGGTGACCCCACCCCAAAATTCCTGCCCCTTGGCCCCCCAAATTAAGTGTAAATAAATAAAAAGATGAAAAAAGGAAAAAAAAAGGGGGGGGAAGGTAAAAAAAAAAAAAAGCCAGAAAAAAATTAAAAAAACCATTTTCTCACCTCAGTTTGGGGGGAGGGGGATGGAGGAAATATTGGGGGAGGGGGTGAACCTCCAGAAAAAAAAAATTGAGGGACCCCCCGTGTCCTGGGTTGATTATGATGTTAAATTGTATCCCCATTCGTCCACCTAACCCAGACACAGATTTTGTATTCTTAAAATTCCATCTAAGAGTAAAAGTGAGTGGAAAAGAAGCACCGGGTCTGTTATCAGACTGTAATTGCTCCCCACACATCGGGAGTTTTGACTACAGCACAGACAGACAACAAGACACAGATCGCCTTGGCTTTCCAACTAGCCAGAGCAGAGAGGTCTTCCTGGACTGTTTTCTTTCCCTTTTTCTGAAACGAATCGAACCTGCTCTGGACTGGGGACTCGGGGGAGCACCGGGAGCTTGCACCCGTGGACTACCGGGAGCCCAGCTTGGGCAGCGGCATTTTCCAGCACCAGAGGGACTGATAACAGAGCGAACACCCACAGGAAAGAGACCCTCTGAAGTTCGTCATCTCTTCTGAATGGCGAGAGGTTTTGTAATTTGATATCATTCATTCTTGTGCTGGGTAGAGCTGTGCCTGTGAAATAAACAGGATTTTTCCACTTCTCTCAGAGAAATCTCTTCCGAACCGGTTGAGGGGTGGGAGAAAAGGGCCACCTGGGTTTGCTTCCCGGGGGGAGCCCCATTGGAGGTTTTCTCCCAAATTTGCCCTAAACCAGGACAGCGGCCCTCGGCAGTTGGCGGCCTTTGGGGTGGAGCCCAGTGGCACGCGAGCGGCCTTTGGTGGCTGCTGTCGGCCGGCGGCTGGGCAGACCTGCTGTCGGCCGGCGGGCCGCCGTGTGACGCGTCGAGCGGCTCTCCCCTATCGGCCTGAGCGCCTCGCCGCCTTCGCGTCTCCCTGAGAGGGAAGGAGGGAGCCCTCAGAAGCCGGCGGCGCTCCCTCCCGCGTCTGGGCCCGAGCAGATGGCGGCCCTGCTCCCGCCTCGGTTTCTGCCCGGCTGGCTCGGTCAGCGGGGCTGCCGTCCGCCTGCAGGTTTCGGTGGGGCCGGCCGGGGGCGAGCGGGAAGGAAGCCGCCGTCGGAGCGAAAGCCTCCGAGAGAGCGCCGGCAAGAAAGCTTCCTCGGAAAGGGAGGAGACCGAGCCTCAAGCCGCCGGCGGCCCCGTCGGCCCGCTCCTCAGCCCCCGCAGGCGTTGTCGCGGTGCCGAGCGGCCGGCCGCTTGAGGAGCCGCCTGGGCCGTGGGCGGGGAGGGGCCGACGGCGGCGGCCCGAACCCAAGCCGCAGGGGGGCGGGGAAAGCCCGGAAGGCGGTGCCAAGGCAGGGTGACGTCAGAGGGCGGGGCCGCCCGGCGAGCCCCCGGAGGCGGGCCCGGGGCCAAAGACCTGCGCGGACCGCCGAAGAGCCGGCCTGTGCAAGCGGCCGCCCGCTCGCCGCCTCTGCCGGGGATTCGAGTCGAGTCACGCCGGGGGCCGGCGGCTTCCAGCCGCGTCCCACCGCCCGCTTCCGCCTGCTTCCTTTTCCCCGCTGTCCGCCCCGAGGTGCCGCTTGCTGGCTGGTGCCGTGTCTGCTCCCCGCGGGGTGGGGACGCCCCGTTGCCGGCCTGTGCAAGCGGCCGCCCGCTCGCCGCCTCTGCCGGCGACTCGAGTCGAGTCACTATGACTCTTAACAGAGGTAAGTTTGCATTCCTAACTGGGCTTAGCCGCTGAAATCAGACCTCCTCGTGGTCCCGCTGGATACCCGCAAGGGTAACTAGCTGATTTCTGCCCCAGTGTGAGTGAGGTTGTGTTTTTCACTGCCTCCCTGCCTTTGGACTCGCCACCCAAAGTGCAGTTTCACGATTTTGCGTCGAAAAGTTATCGGCAGAAGCTCCTTAAAAGCTCCCTGTCTGAAACCGAGCCCGCGGTCAAGTTGGGCAAAGCTGACAGCGCTTGAGGGGGTGCTGTTAGTCAATATTCCCTCAATTGGACTTAGTTTTACTTTGAAACGGCACCACGGTAAAGGCTTTAAAGCTACTCCGTGTGTCCACGGCAACTCAAACTAATTTTAAAGACTGGCATATAAAATCGCCACAAAACCCAAATTTTAAACCCTCAGAATTGGAAAGGGAGGTTTGGAAAAGTTTAAAACTGGAGTTCTACAACTCGATGCATTGTGCCGAAGAATGTAATGCCCATTGTGTGGGGCGGGAGGGGCTGGAGGAATACCCTGATGTGTACTGTGATGATACAATGACTTGCTTATCTCTAGATGATAACGGGATTGATAAGAGCCAGGAAAAGACTGCCACACCCCCACCCACCCAGGAAGAAGCAGCAGTTTTATCAGAGCCAGAGGAAACCACTATTCAACCACCAAACAATGGGGAATCAGAAGACTGCCCTGTCATATCAGTTCCAGATGAGAATCCACCCTGCCCGTGCTGCGGTATTAAAACGAATAAAATGCCTGGATTAATTGAACATTTACTCAGAGCACATGGAATTAGAGAATGCAAATTTAAATGCACCAAATGTGATTTGGAAAATACAAATTTTCACAGCATTGCCTGCCACTATCCAAAATGCAAAGGTAAAATAAAAAAAACATCCCCAGGAAAATGGCCCTGCAATGTATGCCAGATGAGTTTTCAAACTAAAATTGGACTGGGACAACATAAAAGAATTGCACATCCAGCAGTCAGAAACCAGGAGAGGCTAGAAGCCATGAGACCAAAAGAAACATCAGCAAGAGGAGCCCACAAGAAATGCTGGAGTGAAGAGGAGGAAAATCTGCTAATCCAACTAATAAAACAATATGAGGGTAATAAAAACATTAATAAACTGATTGCTGAACACATCCCATCCAAAACTGCAAAACAAATCAGTGACAAGAGATGCTATCTGATGTTAAAACAACAAGCCTCAATTGGATTACAAACTAACAGAAAAACAGAAGAGCAGCCACAGGAAAAAATTCAAAAGCCATCAAAGCGTAAAGAAACCAAAATAAAGCAGTTGAAAAAACACTAGGAAGATATTATCCCATCAAAGATCAGTGATGGCACCTTCATTTTGTATCAGGAAGCCTTCCAAGAAATTCTCAAAAAGAAAAATAAGAATCCCACCCACACCATTAGTGAAATAACCAAAGACTGCATGAAGGTATTTAAAGAGATGCACAGCTGGGAAAAGAACACGGCCTCGTCCGTGGGGCTGTGCCTGGCTGTGCTGCTGGAGCTCCACAGGGACCTGATCTGCAAGGCATTCTCCATTTATTTCAAGACTGTTCTTTTATCATTTTTCTGTAGTGTATAAATAAAAGATGTGTTCTAATAAACAGACTGCAAGACTGTTCTTTTGCTGCCCAGGGTCTGCAGGGCATAGGGGAAGAGGGGGAAAAGGGTCTTTGTGCTCAGCAAGCTGCCCAGGTGTGCAGTGGTGCAGGGAAAATGGCCAGAAGCCCCTTGGCCTTTGGTGGTTCTGCTGAAGGCACAAGCCCTGTCCCAGCCTGACAGCACCATCTGTGTCCTCCTGCCCATGTGGTGCTGGCTGGATTGCTGAGGGCTCCCAGGTGCATCTTGCTCCAGCTCCATGAGCAGCCCCCAGGCTTGATTTGCCTTGTTCCTGACAGCCGGCTGCTCTGGTGCTTCCCTGGAGCTCC